GAGTGGTGCTCATTTACGAACTTCGAAAGGGAGACAAGTGTCTTCATCAGGGAATGAACATGGGGACATCTCAGTTCTGAGTCATCTGACACTTCACTGACTAAGCAGCCCTGATCTAAAGCAACGTGGGATAAATTTCTTGTTCAAGGGAATTAACAAAGATTCCATTGAGTTGATTCTTACCCGGCACCTACGGAGGTCGGAGCCGACCTCTTGGACGCTGTGTAACTATGGCTCTTACAAGCGGGTTTCAAAGTGGCGTTGAAATGGTGTTGAGATGTGGGTGAGTTGGTACCAGCAAGACTCGCGCGCTTAATAGGACGCAGCAGAAAGGGTATAAAAGTTCAACGAAGGTGTTGATTAGCGCGATCCTGATGCCGTTACAGGTTAATTTCAACACCCTTGTAACGAAAAATTCGCCTTTGCGTCCTGAGTCAGTTTCGCAACCATTATCGTAACTCTTCGGTCACCTAAATTATTTTGAGAAAGCGACCATCAGCGTTGGATGCGATATTCATTGGTGATCAGTTGTTCAGTTGAGCATGCAAGCTGAATCGAAGCAGCTAGTGGGGTCCAAGCCTAAGAGAAGAAAGACTTAAGGAATCGCCCAACCCCTGCCTTTTATTGACGATTTCAAGTCTAGAGAGTTTAAGATAAAGAATCTAACAATTAACATTTTTTTGAATTTTTGCTCAATTGTCCCCAAAAGAACACGACAAACACAATAAACTGTCTCTACAGTGGTAATACGATAAACTTAAGGGGAAAAGCAGCATTAATAACAGGCGAGGAAAACCTTTTCCGCCTCAGCATGAAATTGCTTCACAGTCACTTTACTCTAATGATTTGACACATTACCGGAGACCGGCACTCTCAGACTCGATATGCCGGACATCGTTTACGAGCGAGCAAAAAATTTAACGCTGAATTGGTGCAGCTGTTACCTCCGGCACTGAAGATCGGCCATCCGACGAGCCGTTATCCATTAGAAATACGACATGCGGATGAACATTGTTTAGAAAGCCGGTTCGATTATTAGATATAGTGGTTGTAAAAAATTCTTCGCGACGTGTACAGCATCAACAGGATGTAGGATTATTGCATTTTTAATGTTTAATGTGTTACTGAGTCGATAATTTTATGAATATTTGATACGTTGGGCTGATGGGGTAAGGAGCCTCTCACAGTGCTACCAACGTGTCTGCTTTTTTTGCTCATGCAGAACTGAAAACTAAGCAGAACTGGAAAGTTTATTAGACTCGGTAATCTGCCTAAAACTGTCAGTATCCGGAACATTGGTGTACTGAGATGACAGAGGTATATTTAACTTACGTAGTATCTTGCCATTGTATCAGCTAGATGGCATCCTGTTATTTGCTATTTGTTCTGACTGTGGGACTTGGTGCGTGAAAGTGCTCTTCAGAACGGCAAGATCATGATCAGATTGCAATTGGTGCGTGAAAAAGATAATTTGTAGAATGGCAGGATTGAAGAATGTCTTTTGGTTGATGAATCCGATGGATGAAAATTTGCTTTTGTTTCTAGACCCGTTTTATTTCTAGTCACAATAGTATTTTTCAGATTTATGAATGATAAACGCGAGTTACCGGTCCTGTGGCATCAGTCATTGCTTGCTCTCGTTCAGCATTACAAAGCCGACTTGAGCAACGAACAAAAGGAGGCGCTTTTGGAACTGATCAAGCACCAGAGTCATTACCAGATCAGCAGCGAAATACGGCGGGAGCTGACTACCGCTGTCCCTCGCGATGCTGAGCTGAATGAGACTGAACAGTCGATGGAATTATGAACTTGTGCATCGAATG